GCGATGCTGATGAACGATGGACGATGAAGATGACGACGGACAACGATGAACAGAGAACAGCTCGGCGAGGGCGAAAATTAAAAAGAAACAGAGTGAAAAATAACAGAGAGACAAAGACGGAGAGGAAGAGAGAATAGGAGAGAGAGAGAGAGAGAGAGAGACCGAAAATGGAATTAAAAAAGGTTTCAGCTAAAATAAATGAAAAATAATAACATTAGTATATATATGGGGAGTGAAGTGGAAAGAGAAATGTGTAAGAGGGAGTGCAGAGGAAATTAATTAACTTGGGGGACTGACAAGGCAAATAAAAAAGGGATTAGGGATTTAGTAGGAATTTACCGAAATTTTAAACATATTTATAGTTTAAGTTTGTTACAATTTTAAAGCAAATATGAGGAAAAAGAAAAAATTACAAAACAAATTATATTTTATAAACCAATCTTCAAGAAGAAATGATATCAAATATAATTAATACTTCTAAAAAAGAACCATAAATATTATATATTTATGGATTATTCAAACTTAGTTATTTTTGAATTGAAAATAAATTAAAATCCATTAAAAAAAAAGCTTAAAAAATTGGGGCAATCCGAAACTTTTATCCCTTCAAAATACTCGCCGCCATCGTCTTCCTTTTGCCGCTGATACTGTGGTCCAAGAACTCAAACACAATTCAGAAGCTTGGTGAAGGAAACTCTTATCCCGTTCACAAGGTGAAGTAACATTATTCAAGTTTGGTTCTTGACTCTTGGGATTTCTTGCTTGGTTCGATTTCGCGTAGATCTCCCTAAAAATCAATGGAACCTTTTGATTTGTTTGTGCTTTTGCTTTCCCTTGTTTTTTTTTAACCTCAAAGATGTTATTATGATGAGTAAAATCTGGTGAATCAAAGTGAAACCCAACGAATTTCGTAAAATCTGGTGATGAGTTTCGTCTTATTGTCTTTTGAGAAGCTAGGTTTGTTCTCTTTATTTATGTTATGTGACCTTACATGTCGGCCCATATAGCTCTTGGATATGATTCTCAATATTCTGATATTCTGTCAGTCGATGGGGAAGAACAGAACAGATGATGGTGAAAGTGTCCAGCTTTCTTCCAGGAAAGATGAAAATTTTGCTGAATGGTACTCGGAGGTATGATTACGAGCAATTCAACTGAATGCATATACTTTTCATTCATTGTGCTTCCGCTTCTTGCCTCTTTTCTGCGTATAATGTGAAATCAAAGAAGGTATTCATGTCCAAACAATGCTTCTTTTCTTTGATCAATCAATAGTTTTGCCGAATTTTTTGTTTGTGTGTGTGTGTGTGTTTTGTTTTGTCCATTGCAAATGGAGCTGGAAGAGTCGTTGTTGACAATTCTCCTGGCATAGTGCTAATAATGGACTAGATCAAAATGGTTCAATTAAATCCTAGTGCTTCTTCTATTAGTGAAGTTTCTAGAAAAAAAAATATATAAAACGACGCAATGCACCTTAGGTCG